TTTTTTTTTCTACAATACTTTTTAGTTAATATTCGATTTGATTGTGATGTTCTTTCTTTTTTAATTATTATTGTTTTATATTTATTTGCTAATGCTTGTTCAAGACGAGAAGCATATTTAAATATATAAGATTCATCAACATTATAAACTTTAGCATTACTAAACATTCGATTTAGATCATCAATAATATCTTGTTCACGTTTATACTAAAATTAAAAAAAATTTTTGTTTTTTTAGAAAGAAAAAAAGAACTTTTCTTTTTCATTTACAATTCCTTTATCCATTTTATCTTTTATCATTGACATATCAATAGGTTGTTCTATTGTTTCATAATAATCAGGATATTCTTCAGCTGATGGTAATTCTAAAAATGGTGCAATTAATCCAATATCATTTTCCTTTGAATACAAAAAAAAAGAAGCATACAAATTAAGAAAAGATAAAGAAATCATTTTACTCGATATTCTCGAATGAAAGTATAGATTGATTGAATATTTTGTTCTGTAGATTTTATAGGTTTTTTTGATGATCGATTTCGTTGAAACTAAAAAAAGAAACCAAGAAATTTAAAAAAGAATTTTTTTGGTTTTGGTTTACATTAGGTGATTGAGGACTTGATGCTATTAAATATTCATCTTTGATTGTAATCTGTAAGCAAAAAAAGATAAATAAATTAAAAGATTAGAAATTAAAAAAGAATTGCTTTACCATTGGAATGTTAACACGAGCTTCTTTTAATCGTGGTTTTTGTTCATCATAACCAAGTTCATGAGCTTTGAGTAAAGTAACATCTAGTAATTTTTTAGCACTCTAAATATATAAATTAATTTATATTAATGAAAAACATTATTTGATTTCCAAAAAAATATTCTTGATTATTTATATGAACAATGAAAGAATATATTCAATAGAAATAATAGCTGATTAATTTTCTCTTATTGTCTCATCAATCTATCCTTTTTTTTTTGTCGTTTGATATATTTACTTGCAACGAGGTAAACACAAATCTTATCAGTATATTATCTCGTTTGTATTTATGCATGACCAACATAAGTTCCTTTAGTGTTTAGTTATAATATAAATTGAGTGGATTTTCCAGTTTAGAGAGAACAGAGATAAGCAAGTTTAAGTTTGCATTGAAATAAAGTCGAATTGACTTTGTCAAGTACAAATGAAGAAAAAGCTGATAATGAAAAGATTGATGACAAAAGCCAATGCAAAAAGATTCAATTTTTTCACGTAAGAACGAGTACAGCATGACTTGTTACAATTTTATTGCAATAGAATTTTCAAGAAGAAGAAGAAAAAAAGAGATCTAAGAGTGAAGTTAAAGTGGAATAGCAAAATAATCAACGAATCGGTAGTGTGATTTTAAAAAAAATACAATCGGAGTTGAAATAGAGTTAAAATAACACGTCACCAGTATTGCTCATCTCTAAAAGAGAATCAACTCATTTTAACACTTCACTGTGTAAATCTAATATTATGACTTATTGGCATTAAATAATGCAATAAAACTAGTGATATAATCAGAAAAAAAGAATTTAGCACAATTCCTGTAGAATTAAAATGTAGAACACGATGTAGTTTTTGTTACTAATCACAGAAAGATTATTTTATTCTATCTATTTCTTCATCATCCTTTTGACATAATTCTTCAGAAATGCCATAAGTTGTAGAGCGAGGGCTTAGCTCGTTGACCGTGTCTACAGAAAGGATGGAAATCCTCTGATAACGCTTCTGGACTCCCCCCTAGTTTCTGTCTGATTATGTGCCACTAAATAAAATGGCTACAAGAACTTCGTTGTTCTTAAATTATACTGTCATCAAAATACAAGAAACATTGTAATACCTTACTTTCAGTTTTAATACAATACATTATTCGTTATATGAGATTTTGATATATTTCAAAAATCATATGAATTTGTGATTTTTAGATCCTGACAGACTAGAGTAATAGGAATATGTTTTTGTTTTGTACATGTTTATGTTAAAATTGTTTTTCATGCTGTATGGTTTATAGTAGATTCGAACTTCGATGTATTTCTTTTTTTTTTCTTTACAAAAATAAATAGGAACAAACTTTCGTACGTTTTTATTAATTCAAAAATATCTAGAAACTATCTATGTACTAATTAATTTTCTGTAATAGCTTTCATTCTATCTTAGTGAATATGACATGAAGATATAGCAAACATTAATATTAATACAATCTGTTTAAATAAAAGAAAAAAAAGAAAAGTCTTTCAACTCACATTATATATTAATGATCCTTCTTGATTATATTGCATTGCATTATCAAACATTAATTTTAAATCATCTACAAGATCACCTAAATCTGTATATTTTCCTTTCTAAAAACAAAAAAAAAGAATATCTTAACTTAATATTTTTTATTTCATGAAAATAATTCTTACTTTTATATGATTTTTAATTAAAGACATTGCAATTGGCCGTTTTATTTCTTCATAATAATCATGATGAAATCTTTTATTAGGTAATTTCATAAATGGATCAATTAAACTTTGAGCACCAAGTTTATAATTTCTAATACTATTATATAATATTCTATATGAATCTTCTTCATCACCAAGTGAACTTGTTTCTGAATCAGCATCATCATTTGTTTGTTGAATGATTTCTTCATCATCAGGTTCTTCTGGATATTCCATATTTGCTACTTCCGATGATAGAAGAACATCACGTTTACTAAGTCTTTAAAGAAAAGAAAGAAAAAATTAATTTAGAAAAACAAAAATAATCAAAACCTTAATCGATCATTAGGTGTTTTTAATGCTGTATCAAGTTCATTTTTAACACTAGTAATAATTTTTTTTAATGCACATGTATCCTGAAAAAAAGAACCAAATAATAATTTAATTAATTATGTTTTATTTTTTATACTTTATAAATTTGTGATTTTGGATCATTATATTTTCTTGCATTAGAAATCATTAATAATAAATCATTCTCCATATCATCAAGTAATGAATATTCATTATTTTGAATTTTCATTGCAATCATTTTTAAATCAATTGGCTTTGTTACTATTAAATAATAATCAGGATAAATCTATTGAAAGAAAACAAAAACAAACAAAAAATATATGTGTTTTATTTCTTTCTTATTTAAAATTAGGGATGCAATAATGATGATCCATTGTCTATCGATCTTACGTACAACTTTGCACTGGTCTATACATTAGGAAGCTGTGGATCCACGTTTTTCTGGACGATCTCGAATAATCCGCAGCTTCCTATTACACATGTATATATAAGTCAACAGTAAACGAATAAGAAAAATATGGTGATTTTATATTGATTTTAATCGGGGAGAGCATTTCAAGAAAATAGACCACGTTTGTCTCCTTCCGAAAGATGTTCAGGATTGTACGAAACATTCGAAATTTTAAGATCATGTTTATTCTACGCGTACATCTCTAGACCAGTACCAGTACTATAGTTATGATTGGTAATCACTATCACTATTGCATCCCTATTTAGAATACAATAAAGTTTTTTTTTTTTTTACTTTTCGTGAAGGTAAAAATAAAAATATGTCCGTTATAGGACGATTATCAATTCGAGTATTATAAATTGCTGTAAAAAATTCTTCAAAATAATAAGAATCGATGGATTGAGATTTTGTTTTTGAATAAAAATATTTTGATAATTCATTTGCATCTTTCCATTCCATAGAATTTTTCTAGAAAGACAAAAATATATGAATTAAAAAATGTAAAAAAAAAAAAGAAAATTTTTGTTTTACTCGATAATAATTTTTAGCATTATTTATAAGTAATTCAATATCATCAAGAAATTGTTCGAATGAATCATATTGATCTGAATGAATTTTTTGTTGAATTTCAGTTAAATCAATTGGTTCTTTAATTGAAGTATAATAATCAGTATTTGCCCTATATTTATATATTAAAAAATTTTTAATAAAAAGATTCTCATGAAAGAAAAAAAAAAACCTTTTGGTTGGTAATCGAATAAAATTTTCACAAAGAATTCTACCATCTTCAGATTTGTACGATCGAAACGTATCGTAATATTCTTGACAAAGATTATTCTTTAAAAAAAAAATAGAACATACAATGTTTAATAGAAAAAATTTACATACTAATTCAGTTGCTTTCCGAGTACGTTTTGATGTACTGGTTGACTCATTATTATCATCACGATCACTGGCACTGTGAATGCGCTTTGGCATTTAATTAAAAATATAAATTATAAAATATTTTATATTGTATATGATCTATTGTATATTAGAATGAAATAAACAACAGTATTATGTTTTTCTTTTCTGAGCTAGCCAAGGCTCTACGTTCTCGTCAAATGATCAACCAATTGATACAGAAAGCTATATCGAAAATAGAAAGTGACATCTATTGAGAAGTGAAAGCTGATTGACGAGAATTATTCATCTTTATTCTTCACCGATTCAGTCAAGAACTAATTACATAAGTCTAAGTTCAAGCTAAAAAAGATACCTAAAAAAAAAATGATTAAGTCATTTCTATTATTATCTATATACATATGCATATAAAACTAAGACATTATTAGTATAGAATTTAATTTAAAAAAAAAAATCAACTAGAAAAATAAAAATTTTCTTATGTCTATTAGTAATTATTATCATATAGAAATAAATTTTTTTTTCAAAAATGAATTCTTCTTATCCATGATTTAGTGATTATGAGGTCTTGAAATGTCACAGTTTTCGACAATGAAATTCTGTACGAATTCTTGACACTGTTACATCTGAATAAAAGTTTAACGAGTAGATAAATTTCATCAATATGAAATTAGAATACTTAATTGTATTTACATCAACTGAAAGAATTTCTCTTCTGATAACTATTCATAGCTATAAAATATTATTTTTATAAATAACATATTCTAAACGAAACTAAGTTGTTAGTTTGAAATGTATATTTGTACTTAGAACATACCAAAGGTAAATAAGACCTATATTATAGCAAAGTAAAGAAAATTTGACAAAAAATTTCTATTCATGCATACTTATCATATTAATACTGCTCTATAGTTTGTACATTGCATGATCATTATTTTATATCAGAGCTCCGCCTGCACTCAATATACAGAGGTAGTTAGTATGCGATGAATGATATTTTGTTTATGACAATCAAGCTGTGTCTTATAATTTAGTGATCAAACAAAATGATTTGATGAAGATAGCGAAGTGACTAAACATGACTAGTATTTTGTCTTTTCTCAGTATAGAATTTCTCATTCATCGACGTCTATTTTAATAATTATTTTAGAGAATTCAAAAAGAAAAAGAAACATTAAGTTAAAAATGAAACAAGAATATATAGTTAATTCTTCATAGATATTCATATAGAATCACTTTTGTTTTTGCTTATGAATCATCAGTGAGCTAAGGACAAATACAATGCATATATATATATATCAATACATTGACTCTATTGTTGTTTTGTTTTTTTGATGTTTCTCTTGAAAATGGTATTTAAAATATCAAAAATTCGAGTTATGTCATTTGAGTTCTAATTTATTA